GGGAAGGCGCCGAGCCGGGGCGCGGGGTCCTCGCTCGCCGAGCGGGCGGCGGCTTTCACGCTCCCTACCGGGCCGGGCCCCAGGCGCAGAGCACCGGGACCGCACGACGCTCCCGTGAGCTAGGAGCTGTCCGCCAGCCGAAGGCCTTGCTCTGCGCCCTCCCCTCCTCGTGACGCCCTAACTCGAGGGTCGGTTCTCTGCAGCCCCCTCTGCGCCGTCTTTAAAATCTGGGCCCGTGGGGGCCTCCCTGGTGGCGCAGAGGGTGGTTGAAGCCACTGCAGCTCGATCCCGCCCACTGGGGGAGTGACCCACAGGGCCTGGCAGACCTCTCCCGTCCTGCCCGCTGCTCCCCTCAGCAGAGTATTTCAGTCGATTTGCCTGTCCAGCTCCTCAGTGTTCCTCTGGTGAAGCCTCTCACCGCTCCTGCCCCTCGGGCCTGTGCCCCAGTTCTGCATCATAAATCAATCAGTCTTTAAGAAAACAAACGCTGGGTCTGTGGTAACCCCAGGGCCCCTCTTCTGTCCACTGCTGCAGGAGCTCTTTGTGCAGCATCTGGCCGCCTGCTCCTACAGACACGGCAGTGGGAAGGACAGGAAAGCCCTCACGTACAGCGACTTGGCAGGCACTGCGGAGCGGACCGAAACATTCCAGTTTCTCGCAGGTACTGAGCCTTCGAAACGGTTAGCAAATGCTTAGTGGCTTCGCTGCCCTGCCGAAGGGCGTCTTGCTGCCCACCCAGGCGTCCGTGGCCTTGGCAGGAGAAGTTGGCAGCCCAAGTGGGCGCGGGGGCCGCCCGGAGCCCTGGGGATGGGCGCAGGGCTGGCTGGCAGCGCCTTTCAGGCTTCCTCCCGCCCCGGAGACGGGGGGGACAGGACGCTCACCGAGCCCGCCAGTTTGCTGGGCCCCAGGGAGAAGGCACCTCGGGTCGCCATTGGGGCTGCAGGCCGTGGCTTGCGCAACGGTGGGCAGCCCGCAGCTCAGGGTTCGGGCGTGCCAGGAGACCGCGGGTTTCCTGCCGTGCCCCCAGACTTGTGGCCAGCCTTCATCGCCAGGGACTGGCACACTGGCTCCGCCGTGCTGCGTCCTGGCCTGCCATCGCCCGCGGCTGACACGAGCGTTGTGTCTTTAAGATATACTGCCACGGAAGATTCTGGCCAGCAAATACCTGAAAATGCTAAAAGAGAAGAGGGAAGAGGACGAAGGGGAGGACGCCGCCGCCGCCGCCAGTGACGGTGAAGCGGAGCCCTAGGCCAAAGCGCTTCAAGAATCAGCCTGCGGCGAGGGCCGCGGGAGCACGGCACTGCCTTCCCTGGCACCAGGAGCCTGGGCAGCTGCACCCCAGCCGAGGAGTGGCGCCCACCAGCCTGCAGCCGCAGCCTGAGGCTCTGGAGGCAGAGGGTGGGGTTCACTTTAGTCTCCTGTGGGTGCTGAAAGCTCCCGCTGCAGGTGTGTAAATGCCTGTGTATTTGGAAATTCTGTAAACAGCTTGGTTGAGCCTTAGCTAAACGCGGAGTCTGTGGGTCGCGTGTTACATTTACATTTTTGTATTTCAAAAAACCTTTTTGACTGTCCAGTTCCATCTTTTAAACTGTAAGCAAGTAAGTTTTTCTCAGGAAGAACTGGACAAGTTTTCACAGTAAAATTTGGGAGACTGACTCGTCCTGCAGCTGTTCTGGGTCCTGCTCACTCCTGGACCTGAGCGACCGCAGAGGAAGGCTTTCCCGCGCTGTTCTCCCAGAGGTGAAGTCCAAGCCGAACTGTTGGCGCGAAGCCACTTTCCTCTGTGTGAGCAGACTTTTCTGGCGTGTGCGGCGCTCGCTCCCGCTTGCTGCCCTGTCTGCGCGTCCACAGGAATCGCTTTTACTCTCTACGGAGAGAACGGGCCGCCTGCCCTGACTTTAAGCCATAATTTCTTGCCCACAGGGTAAGCTTTTGACACTTTCCACTCCTAAAGGGCAGAATTCACTTCCTGTACAGTCGCCCTTCAGGGCCAGGCCGGTGGGCGTGCTCCAGCGACGGCGCCCGCAGTCCGCCGCCCGCCACTGCCCGTTGGCGTTAGTCTTGTCCTCAGGCCACCACTGTACTCTGTCCTTCCTGTGTTCTGAGTTTAAAATAAAAGACTTCAAAGCCCAGGTTTTGGCTTCCGGCTCTGCGTGTGGACCGTGAGAGTCCCAGCCGCCGCGCGAAGCCTCTGCCCGTCCCGTTGGCAGCCGTGGGGCTAGGCTGTGCCCGTGCGGAAAGCAGCTCCCGAGCTGCTCGGCGCCGCTGCTTTCTGGGAAAGCCACTGAGCATGTCACAGGCACGGACATAGCTGTGTGAGGCCAAACTTGGTTTCCGAAGTGGGAATTTTCATGACCCGTGAAACTTACTTCTCCCTGCCATTTCCGTGCAAGAGCCACTCGGCTGCAGCCCATCTGGCGGCGTGGCCGGGTTTGGCCCCACCCGTCTCCGGACTCCATGGTGCAGGGAGCCCTGCGCGGGGCCGGCCTGGGCCTCGGCCTGCCGCAGGTGTCGTCCGTCGGCCCTTGCTGCTGAGGAGATGCCTCCGGACAGGCCAGCGTGGGGGCTGGCCAGCAGGTGGCTGTGCGCCGCGGGGGCCACCCCTGCCCCGCCTGGGTCACTCCCTGGGCTTCCTCTTGGGTGGTGGTGCCGGGTGGCTGTCTGGGAGACTGCCAAGGCCTACAGAGGCCGCACCCGCCAGCCGCGGAGCACGGTTCGTGCCTTGCCTCCCCAGCAAAACCTGCTGTTGCATCTTGTTGAAACAGACAAACTTGCTGGCTTTTGCCTGGCGCGGGCGGGCGCGCGCTGAGCTGCGCCTCCTCCCTCCCGCGCTGGCGCGTCTCGGCCTGCTGTGCTGGGTTGCGAGCTCTGCACGAGGAACACAAATCCTCAGTGACCCACAGATGTCTCCGCCCAGGCTGTGCTCTGCTTTAGTCGTTGTTTTAAAAGCTGCTTCGCAGAGCAGAAATTCTGCTTTTTTTCCTCCGGAAGTTCTTTATCTTGAGTAAGTCCAGGTTATTTTTCTCGAGGGATCACGCTTTTCCCGTCTGCATCAAAAACCACGCCCAAAGGCACAAGCCCTAGTCTTGCCCTCAGCGTCGTGCGGCTCCATCCCGGGCCCGAGAGCTGTGAAGCGGGTGAAGCGGCTGAGGCCGGCCCCCACGGGGGCACTGGAGCTGCGGGGTGTGGGCGCCTCACCCTTCCTGCCCCTGACCACATGCGGGACGTCACCAGCTGCTTCCCTAGAGGTTGCTCACCGCCTCAGGCCACCTCCCGGCTGCGTGCGGCCGAGGCGCGTTTCCTGGGACAGCCGCAGCCGCTCCTACCCCGGCGAGCCCGCCCCAGCGAGCCCGCGGCTGCCTGGGGCGGGGTGTCGCTGGGGTTCCAGGCCAGGCTGTGCTGGGCCATCAGCTTGCAGGTGTGCCCACTGCCCGCGGGCACACCCCACTGGGTAATTTTAATATTTTGAAAAAGATTTTATTTGTGTACACAGAACTGGGGTACAGGCCAGGGGGGCGGTGAGAGGACCCACCCGAGACAGAGTGGGGAGCAGAATGGCGGATGGATGAAGTGTACTGCTGAGGGGCGCAGCGGGGGAGACAGGAGGGGTCTGCTGCGCCTGTGAGTCCCCTCCGGGGTGAGGGTCAAACTCACCCTGAAGCGTCTGCGGCGGCTTGTCTCTGCAGTGCACGCTCCGACCCGGCGCGCCGCCAGGGAGGGCCACATGACTACAAGTTTTCAACGGTACTCAGTTTCCACACTTTCTCCAGTGGACACACTGTCCTTGGAAAATCAGTAGACGGCTTGAAATGACACCGGAGAGGAATGTCCAGCCGGTGTCTTATGACAAGGAGGAAAGCGGCATGCTGCCCGGCGAGGGCCGCTGGGCGCAGCGCGTCACCCCATCTTCATGGCCAAGCGGCGCCCCAGGGTGCCCGGCTTGAGGCATGAGCGGCCACGACAGGCTCGGGGCGCTGCGGCCCTGTGCCGGGGCAGCAAGCTGCTGTGGGCAGAGGTCTGGGGCGTCACTGTGACCGGAACCTGACTGCCCACTGGCCTGAGGGCCAACCGCGCTGGCTCAGAGTCCCCAAGAGCCCCCCGGCGCTGAGCCAGGGCCTCACGCCATGCTCACTCGGCCCAGCCCCCGCCCACGGCGGGCACCGGGCGTCTCAGCTGCACCCGCGGGGCACGGCGGCGAGGGCCGGCCGGGTGGGGCGGCCGGATGTGGCCAGAGCCCCCCCACCGCGGAGCTCTGACCGCGCATTGGTCGGGCCGGGGTGGACCGCTCTCTGCGCCCCCCTTTCTTGGGGCACTGGCATGGGACACCCCTTTGCGCCACCCACCTGGCGCCTGTGGTTTCAGCCCCGCACCCCAGCCCCGCAAGGTGGCGCCGGCCTCTCGGCTGTCCCGGCAGGTCTCGCCCCTCGCCCACCGGGCCGCTTCCCCTCGCGCACACGGAACCCGCAGGACCCAGCACAGTGCGAGTGACGAGCCCTTGGGGAGCGGCTGTAAATACGAGGAATTTTATTTAATTTTTTTGCTGACATACTATGAGGCAAAACAAAATTGACACCATACAAAATAACTTTATAAAATATCATTCACATCATATTTTATCAGATTTACAGCATTCTGTGCATGGTAAGGTTTATGTAAGGAGGTGAAAACACTATGCCAAACTCTTAGTATTCGTTTATATACACACAGTAAGAAACAAAACAAGTAACTGTTGGGTTGTCCATGAATTTATTGCAAAAATAGTGCAAACTACTTAACCTAGGAAGCTGTAAAAACAAACCCGAAAGGACCCGGCTGAGCTTAAACACGACAACAGGTGCTCAGTGTCTCGGCCTCGCGTCTCCGCCAGTCCACCTTTCGTCAGTCGAGACCACCCCGTCTGTGCAGTTCGGGTGAGGGCCGGGGACAGAGGTGTGAGGAGCGGCTCCCGAGACCGGGGCGCTGGCTGTGCGGCGCCAGCAGTACCTTTGGGGTCACGCTGCTCACTCGGGGGCCGCGCGGGGGCCCGTGTCCCCGGCGTGCGGACGCCCTGGTCCGTCAGTCCGAGCCGAGCACCGAGGCGCCCGAGCGCCCGCCCGGCGAGCAGCGTGAGCAGAAAGGCCTGGGAACGTGACTGCCTGCTGACAGACATGGTGACCTTTGCCCCGTGCGTGCGGGTGAAGTGTTATTCTACTGGCGGGTAATCTGTGAACCAGATATTGCAGTAAGTCAGGAAAAAAATAAAAGAAGATACTGTATCCCTACAAGAGTAACTTTAAAATTCTTTCAACAGTCTATCGGGGTCCAAAAAGCACACGTCTAGACAAAGTAAGAGCAAAACAAAATGCTACATGTAAAAGCTAAAGAAACAAAATGCAGCATATTCAGGTTCTTTTTCTTGAGGTACCTGTAGAAACCTAGCCACCTGCCCCAAGGACTCTTGTTAGGCTGAAAAACCCAAAGCTCACCGCTCAGCCGACTGGGCGTTTACTGAGCGAGAAAGTGCGACGACGCCATCCGACATGCAGCATACCAAAGGGTGATCTCCTCTTTCCGAAACAGCCCCCTACCGACCTGGTGGGACCTGGTGGGACCTGGTGGGACCTGGTGGGCGCGGGAGACGCCAGCTCCCCGGAGCCGTCCCTTCGCATTTGTTTGAGACCCTGCGCCGAGCCTCCCGGCCAACTCCCAAGCTGTTGCCAGTGAGGAATGTTGCTTCTCTCGTGAAATGCAGAGATCTTGTTAAAGTAGGAAAACTACAGACTACAGGAAAGAGCCCTACTCTTATTTCTTATTGGTACAAAATCAAATGCTTAAGACTCCAAAATATTGTTACCTCCAAAAAATTAAGTTAGAAAAGATCGCCACAGTAGGAAAAGTCCGGAACTGTAAACTGCCCAATAGAAGGCGCGGTCAGCTCCCCTCCCCCCGCCGGGCGGCT